GAAGCTGCCGCTGGCGGACGAGGTGATCGAGTCTGGGCTGGTGCAGGACTTTGACGCCAGCCTGTCGGGCATCGGCCAGGAGCTGGGCGCTGGGGCCTACAGCATGAGGTAGGTGGGCTGCGACGGCCACCCGAAAGGCTCCATCCTGCGCCAGGGACAGGGACTGGTCACCTCGGGGGGATCGGGCTGGGCTGAAGAGCCCCAAAAGGTGCCTAAAGTTGGGGGAGTGCCGCTCGCCAGCGCGTTTGGTGGCCGCAGCATCACACCAGGGAACAGTTCAAGAGGGAGCGGGGTGCTGGGCTCCGGCAGCCACCCTGGGACGTGGTGCTGCCCGCTTGAAGCTGGGTGGAGTCGCAGGTGCGAGGAGCCCGTCGGCTGCTCGGGGCTTTGGGGGTCGCTGGGCAGCCGCTTCGGAGAGCAGATGCGCTCGAGGGCCCGGGGCTGCGCGGTGCTTGTGTTGCTCTTGGTCTTTGGCCTCCTGATGCCCTCAAACTGCAGGGAAATCATCCGATGGGGGATGTGGGGTAGGGGAGAACTTTGTAGAGTCGGGCTGTGGGTTGGACTCGATGATCCCGAGGGGCTTTTCCAACCTGAATGATTCTGTGTCTCGGATTCAGGGTTAGTTCTGCGCTTCACTGCTCCTGGTTGGAAGAGCCTGTGACCAGTTGCTTTGGTTTTGTGTAGCACAGAGTAATCACCCCAGGAGCAGTACTTTGCCATAATTAATTACCCTCCCTGAGGAGCACCAGCATGTTATTTTCAGGTCAGACTAGCTCCGTCCTTCTGACTGAGCTAAACTGGGAGCAAAGGAGAGGAGCAGGACCCCATGGGGTCAGACACCCTGTGCGTGAGTGCAGCGATCGGGTTCGGAACGCTTCAATAAATAGCGTTTAATGTTCCAACGTGTTACACGAGGATGCGGCCCAAGCCCTGGGGATGGGTCCCAGCTTGCTTCGCTGCTCTGCCCTCTTGATCCCGGCCCCGGCGCCCAGGCACTGCGTCGTGCTCCCCATCTGAGAGCCACCAACGCCGCGTCTCTGCCTGCGGGAGGTACCGCGGGGAAGCGCAGCCCATGGATGAGGTGTGGGGCTGGGCAGGGTCTGCCGAGTCGGTCTGCGAGCGGCCACGCGCTTCCCTGCCACTGCCCTTCATTAATCATCTCCATCGTGGGCTGGTGCAGATCCAGTGCTATCTGTGAGAGAGCTGCCTTGCTGTAATTTGGGGTGAGAGCTTTAGTAGTTCAAACGTGACTTCTGTTCCTCTTGTTTTCATCCTGGGATCCCCCTCAGCTGGAAGGGAGGAGGGAGGACGAGATGGATCCCTCCACGCAGGCAGGTGGCAGGGAAAGGTCTGGAGGTTGGGGGCTGAAGTTAAGCCAGCCAGGAGGAGGGAAGTGCCACAGGAGGACACATTGATGTGAGACTGGGGCTTTGTGAGGGGGCTGTGATTGGAGATGGTTAAAGTCAGAAATAAAAATGATCGTTCACGGTAAAACTTTTCCAGGGGGAGTGGAAAAGCAGCTCTTGTTGGCCAGCCTCTGTCTCTCCTTTCTTCCAGGGATGAGGAGAGACAGCGCTTTCCCAAAATTATTCCTGACCTCTCTTAGGATCTGTCACAACCTTTGGGATTTGTTTAATTGGAATGTTTGGAAGAAAATCCCAACTCCCAATGATGCGTGAGCTTGGCGGAGCGTGTCCATCGCCCCTCCCGTCCAGAGCAGCAGCGAGTGCCGTGACCGGCAGCTCCAGAGGAGCTCCCTCCTTCACTACCTGCGCTGGGAGGGAGGGAGTTCCCAACGTGTGCCGGGGAGGTCCAGCTTCGCTTTGAGAGAGGGAGTTGTGAAGCTTTAAAGCTCCTTTTCCTCCCCTTTCCCCTTTGTTTTGGGTGAGGGGTCCTGAGCGCAAACGCTTCCCTCAGGGTGAGCGAAGGTGTTGTGGATCAGCTCAACGTGTGGACTCGCCTCTGTTGAGCTCAACCCGCGCATCAAAGTTCTAATTGCACAGGGAAATCTTGCAGTGGTGAGCTTCAAAGGGGAGGGTCAGACTGGCCATGAGGAAATGTTTCCCAGGAAGAGTGGTCAGAGAGTGGAACAGGCTGCCCAGGGAGGGGGGAGTCCCCATCCCTGGGGGGGTTTAAGGGCTGTTGGGATGAGCTGTGGGGGATGTGGGGTAGGGGGGAACTTTGTAGAGTCGGGCTGAGGGTTGGACTCGGATGATCCCGAGGGGCTTTTCCAACCTGAATGCTTATGTGAAAGCATTCACCTCCTTTCCCTACCACAGCTGACCCAGCTGGGCGCTGGTTTTCTGCGCCGGAGGTTTGAGGGAAGGTTTCCCAAGGCCGCGGCTCTGCACATCCTCGTGCCACACACCAGAGCGGCTGCAGAGCTTTTCCACCCTGCGTTACTGGCGCAAAAGGGCTTCAAGCTCAGTGTTGGGGGCACGGTGGCTGCGCTGCTGCTCCCAGCCTGACCTGCCGCCTAGCTGTGCTCCCTGCGGGGCGCGCTCAGCCGTCTGAAACCCGACTCTCTTTTTCGGAGACTTCTCCTGACCTACGCTGCTGCCCGTAAATAGAGCGTGTGCCCCCGTAGGTGAGCGTGACGACCTTCCTGTCCTGACATCTGACATTTTCTTTCCGTGTTGTGGGAAGGGGGGAAACGTTTCAACAGGGACCTCGGGTTTTGAGTGTGTTGGTGGCTTTTCTGTGCTTGCCCCGTGAGGGTTTTCTGCTTTCATCCCTTTTCCCTATGGAAGAGGCACGTTACTACCTTGGGAACGAGCGCTGGTAGGTGGCGGAGGATGATGAGGGTTGTTGCTTGGCTGGAAGCTTTTTCTTGTTGGAGTTGCATGGTGGGATTGTGCTTTGTGTTTGTTAACAAACCTGAGTCCTTGGCATTACTGTTGTTCCCTGGAATTAGGTTTTTTAGGAGAGCAGAGGTGGCTTTTGGATGACATTGGCTGAATACTTCCATCCGCAGAGTGTTCCTGTAATTACTTTTTTTTTTCCTCTTTTCCAGGAGATTCTCTCCCACCCCAGAACCAGAGGCCTTAAGTGTCTTTCCCCAAAACCATGTTAAATTGCACAGTGAAATATTACTTTTTTTAAAGGCAGGTGATGTCCCCAGGAGTTGCAGGAACTTCTCCAGGTGCCTTTGGAGCAGGGCAGGACCGTGTCTAAAGAAAAGATCTGCTGGTGGCAGCTTGGTTTGGCCACGCTGGGCATCACAGGGATGTTGCTCGTGGGATGACAGTACCTGAAGGACTCGCAGCTTCCCGGCTCTCCTCAAACGACCCCCAGAATCTCTAGAACTTGCTGGGCGATGGCAGGGTGGGAGACCAGCAGGAGGGAAAATATGTGCTGCTGTGAATCGCCCTGCAGGCTGCAGCGTTTTGCTGCCCTTTGCAGGTTGTCATTCCCCTGGAGATGCCGCGCAGACGCCAGGCCCAGGAGCTGTCAACCTTTCCTGTGCTGTTTTATAACTGTGTTGTCTCTAAATACTTAAATTTTTTATGGCACCCTCCAACGCATTTAGCTGACCCTGTTACCTGGGTCCCATTGCACAGACACGTAACAGCATCTGAAGGACCAGAGGGCCCAGCCAAGGGGCTCTTGGCAAAACCCGAGGCCGTTGCAGCGGCAAAGGGTTGCTCCCGCGCTGCTGCCAACCTCTGTGCCTGCAGGGCAGCACCCCAAGCAGCGCTGCTTCCCCAGTACCTGCTGGCAAAAGCAAACCATCATTTGCTTGGTGATTATTCTTGATTAATTGAGTTAGACTCTTATTCCAGAAATACAGGGATGTGACTACCCTAAGGTGGTTTTTTTTTTTCCCTTTTTGCAGCTTGCAATAAAATGTGGGGTTTGTGTTGTGGTTGTGCAGGGTCTTGGCAAAATCTAGAGGTTGGGTTTGGGGAGGTTTTGTGGGGACGGTGCTGCCGTCCTCAACAGGATGGTGTTAGTGGCCACGTGGAGCTTCTGGAGCCCTGAAAAGCAGCTTTGGGACGTTAGAGCGGATGGCAGTGCTGTGTAACGGGGCTCCAGCATCACCCGAGCGCTCCACACTCACAGGAAAAATAAATGATGCTTTTGATACACTGGCTTTGCACGTGGGGAGGTCACAGCTGAGCTTTGCCTCTTTCTCACCCAGACTGTGCTTGTGTGACACAAAGCAAAAGAAAGAGCAAAAACCGGGGTGTCCTGAGGTCTGCAGAAGTGGGATTAAGGTGTCGTGTCAAAGCCTGCAAGGAAAATGCGCGCTCGTGCGTGAGGGTGGGGAGCATCCCGCGTTTCTCCAGCTGCTGGGAGAATTTGTGCAGGGCGTAGCCTTTACGTGAATTTCCCCATCCCTCTGGGCACAGCAGGTTAGTGCCGGTCTGCCCCCTCCTCGCGCTTTCGAACAGCAAGCGGTAACACCCGTGCTTTGTCCTGTCTCGGCAGCTGGCTCGTGTGAGGAGCCTTCTGTGGGAGGAAACTGCTGTTCCTGGGCTAATGAGATGGAGCTGCAGGGAAGTTCATCCTCCGGGTTGTGTAATTTACCTAATTGTGTACACGTGCCTTGATGCAAAGGCCAGGGCGTCCGCGCAGCTCTGTGTAACAGCCCGTAGGTACGTTGGGGTTTGGGCAGGGAAGGGCTCTCCTGCTCGGGTCTGGGCATGGTGTTGGAGCAAGGGGGGGTATTTAGTCTCTTGTGGCCAAAGGGTTAAAGCCCTGTTGGGGTGGGAGCTGGTATTTGGCTAGATAAGTCCAGTTTTTCCTTGGGAAAGGTTTTTAATGTTCAACTAAAGCAAAAAAACCCCTGATTTAACTCCTTCCTTCCACATCCATGAGCCCAAAGCCTGTAACAGGAGGGGCAGGCAGCCTGACTTCATCAGGGCTTGGGGTGCTCGGCTGCTGCCCTTGGAAGGGACCCGAACAGCTCTGTCCCCACGCTTCCCCTCGGGGCAGTGGGGTGGCACTGGGTGGCCCCAGCAGCTGATTTGCAGCTCTGCAGTCACATCAGTGCCGAAGCCGTTGCCCAGGCTCTGCTTTTGCTCCGGGCTCTGCTCGTGTGGATGAGTGGGAGGATGTTCTGCTCTGTGCACTATGGAGTGATTGCTCTTGGCCATTGTTATGGCTCAAAACAACTGCTGAGAGTCAGCTTCTGAAACAATTTCTATTAAATACATGTCCATAGGCTCAGGGGTATCGCTGATGGTTTTTAATTTAACATTATTCAGCAAGTTCTTGTTGCCACGTGGCTTTTTAAGTATGGAAAAGTGGAGACAGAGAGCTTTTTGTGTAATTGCAAAGACCTGGAGACATCCTTCTCCAGGGGAGAGTCGTTAGCACGGGGCTTGAACACCCTTGCTTTTCCCAGCCAATGCCAGGAGCAGCGTGGCAGCACCCAGAGGGTGCTGAGCCCAGGCTCGTGCCAGCTGTAGCTGCTGCTCTGTGGCACAACGTGGAGCTCCTGTGTAACTCATCTGCTATGGCCTGACAGCCAGGAGGGAGCTTGGGCTGCTGCAGGTTAATGATGTGTGGTGAAGCCAACCGGGGCAGTTCCCACTGTCCTTAAATGTCAGCCGGGCAGGAATCGTGGCGGATTTTGGCAAGAGGCAGATCAGAAATCTGGGTCTGGTTTGTCCGGTGGCGTGGGCTGTGTCACCCGTGACGTGCGGCCTCTTCTGACCCCGGTGGCCATCCCCAGCGCTTGCTTTGGGTCAGGGCTGGCTGGTTGTGTGGTGCCCAGCACAAAGGGCCCTTGGATCTGGGGGCTGAGTTTGGAGAAAGCTGGGGCTGCACCTCCTGCTCTTTCCCTGTCAGAGCCTGCGGGATTTGCTCCATTGAGATGGTCGCGTGTGTCATGCAGCAAGTTACAGCTGCGGGAAGGAGGGTTTGGTGTTCTGACTGTGCAACCCCCTGCTCGGTGTACCTCGAGGTCTCTGCCTCCGCTTCGGGTGACACCCCTGTTCACTGGGGCAGTCGGGGGCTTTTATAAACACAGAGGAGGCGATGGCGAAAAAATTGGCAACCTTGACCTGAGCAAGACTTGAAATTCCTGCCAAGCCTCTCCTGGAGGGAAAATGAGTTCCTGGCCGCTGTGCTTGGAGCAGGGGAGAGGGTTGGGGGCCACTTTGGAGGTGAGGGTGAGCAGGCTGGTACCGGGAGGAAGAGGACGGGCATTTACGAGCACGACACAGATTCATTCTGCACATGTGTGTCTTTGCAGCAGCTCTGCGCTGCCGCACAAGTGGCGCAGGAGTTGCGCTGCCGGAGGAGCTAGGCTTTGGTCTGAAACACAAACTCTGTTGTCTCTTAGCTCTGAAGCAGGAAATGTGTGTTTTGGGTGGATAGCAAGGCTAACCTGAAAAAAGCTGTCACAAGAGCGGGTGTCAGGTGCTCGCCACAGACTGCTTGGTCTGCTTTAACGCTCCTTTGCAGTTCTGCAGAGAGATGTCAGGGTCTGTGTTCTTTTTTTATTTTTTTTTAACTAAAAAAAGCTCAAAGCTCTTCCTAGGAGGAGGAACTAAATACCAAACGCATCATCTCTCTGTAGCCAGAGCTGAAATGAATCTGTCTGACAAATCTCTTTGCAGCGACGTCCTTGCCCTGCCCATCTTCAAGCAGGAAGAATCAAGTTTGCCTCCTGAAAACGAGAATAAAATTCTGCCCTTCCAGTACGTGCTGTGTGCTGCCACTTCACCTGCCGTAAAGCTGCACGACGAAACACTCACCTATCTCAACCAGGGTGAGAGAAGCCCCATGCCCTCCTCGGACTGTGTGCTCCTTGTGTAAACTCCTTAAAAAATAAAATTCTGCTCTTGGAAATTTCCCCTTGGGAATGGAAAATGTCTCAGTGGTAAAGCTCCTGTTTGGAAGTGCCACCTACTTCACCTGTAGGTTTTAATTTAATTTAAAACTTCATGCTGTAAGGTGATTCACTGGAGTGGCTGTGCTGGGGTGCTCTGCGGGGGGTGTTACAGGTTCAAGCTGTACCTGCTGCTTTCAGGTAGAACTGGAAGATCAGGGTTAGCGGCCAAAGCTGGGTGAAGCTTGTGTAATCGATTTCTCCCCTGTTCTTGGTTAATAAAGGCAATTCCTTGAAAGTACTGCTGTGAGAAGGGGGGAGTGTCCCTTCTTGGAAAGGGGCATCAGAACTGTGGCTCTAATGGCTTGTGTGACCCCCCACGCACACCGGAACATGGCAAGAAGATCAAGTGGCGTGTCTAGTGTGCCACAAAAAGAGGCCAAAATGCCAGAGGAAGGGCAGCACCAAAGGTTCATCCCTGACTAATCGTGGGGGGCCCTTGTCTTTCCCTCAGGACAGTCCTATGAAATCCGGATGCTGGACAACAGGAAAATCGGGGAGCTGCCAGAGATCAATGGGAAACTGGTGAAGGTGAGCAGAGAGCGTGATGATGCGTGTCCCGCCGGGGCCATCCCCTGCCCTCGGGAGCCAGGAGCGAGGCCTTGCCGTGCGTTCCTGCAGCAGCCTCCGTGCCAGCATGTGGGTTAGGTTGGACTTGGTTGGGGCTTTCCCTTTCCCCTTCTCCCACCTCGGTGAGACCAGCCTGGCTGGTGGGGTCCAACCAGCCTCGTGGGGCCTGGGGTCAAGCCAAGAGGCAGTTGCTATTGGCTTAGTGTTCGGGAGCTGCCGCCTTCACGCTTCTGTCCAAGGGTCTGTCTGAGCTTTCTGTTACTGCTTTGGCTCCTCCACGAAGCCTTCAGACCCCCTCGCTGCCCGCTGTGACTGGGAGATGCCTCGCAGCTTGCAGGCTGGCAGGTTTCCTGGGGCAGCTCCAGGCACTGACTGTTTCTTCCATCTAGAGCATTTTCCGGGTGGTGTTTCACGACCGGCGGCTGCAGTACACGGAGCACCAGCAGCTGGAGGGCTGGCGCTGGAACAGGCCTGGGGACAGGATCCTGGACATAGGTGAGTCCTCGTGGCAGCGCCGGGGCTGCGGGACATGTGAGTGCCTGAGGTGCCTCCAGCTGAGCTCCTGGTCCCTTGACTTGAAGGGACAAACCGTCACAATTCCGAGCTTTGAGACACGGCTGGTTCTTCTGTATGTTCCCTGTGAATCTCTTCCTTCTCTTTCTGCTACGAACTGCAGCTTATTCTTCGATGTGCCCCTACAGATATCCCAATGTCCGTGGGCATCATTGACCCTCGAGCAAACCCAACTCAGCTCAACACGGTGGAGTTTCTATGGGATCCTTCAAAGAGGACTTCAGTGTTTATCCAGGTAAAAGAGAAATGGGCAAACTCCTGTGGTGGGGGTCTAGGGGAAAAAATAAGTTTTCCAAGGGGAAAGAAGATGCTTTTTTGAACTCAGCACTGAAGTAGCAGCCAGATGCCACACTGGTAGAAGGGTGTCAGCTAAAATACACCCGAGCTCCTGCCTCAAGCAATGCAAGAGAGCAGCAGTTCATGTGTTGGCAAGGCACAGGCACAGCTGACCACCAACAAGTTGTTTTACACATTTTTGTGGTTGTTTAGGTTCCGCTGGTTTCACGATTTGGGTCTCCATCTTGCTTAGATGCTTTTGCACATCTCACCAACTGCCTAAAATGCCTCTTAGAAGTCTGACCCTCCCGCCTGGAGTAACAGGCTGTGGCGTGCGGAGGCTGGGAGCTCTCTGCCCTGCTGATCCGGGCCTTGCTTCTGACACTAAGAGGTTGCAAAACTTGTTGAAGGAATGTGGCTCCACCTCTGCTGTGGCATCCCCTTAACTCCTTAATGCTGGGGGTACTTGCTGTGATCCCCTCCCAGCTCTGTATTTCACCCTTCTCACCAGGCTGCCCTTCCCATCAGTGCTGTCCTGGCTCCCATGAGGGGAACGGGCAGTTTGTGGTCGGTCAGACATGGCAGAATTCCTGACAGTGGGATGCCTTCCCTTCCCCCAGGTGCACTGTATCAGCACGGAGTTCACCATGCGGAAGCATGGAGGAGAGAAGGGGGTTCCCTTTCGGGTCCAGATAGACACGTTCAAGGAGAATGAAAACGGGGAGTACACGGAGCACCTGCACTCAGCCAGCTGCCAGATCAAGGTCTTCAAGGTACCTCAGACCCTTGGTGGCCTTTCCCCGCTGGGAAACAAACTGGGAGTCAGTCCCAGTTCCTGCTGCAGCCACAGTGGTCATTGTGGGTGCAGGGCCGTGGCTGAGCTTGCCCACAAAAGGGCCTTTCGGTCCTTCTGGTCTCGTGTTGCCGCTCTCCCTCCTTCCCCTCTGTCAGTCGAGTCTGGATGCTGTTGAGGCTACAAAACCAGTAAGCCAAGAACAGGGAGAACATGGGTTGTGTTGCCTCTAAAACCTCCCACGTTTAGTCTTGAGTCTTTATCAGCTTGGGAGATCCTCCAAGGAGCTTTGGTGTCTGTCTGAACTCCTTGCTTTATTATTACCTGATGTTGCTGATGCTTCATCTGCATCCAGCCCCTGCAGCGGCTCAGGCGCCCGGGCCCTGCTGCACATCGTTTGCAGAGACCCGAAGCCGTGACCCAGCGGCAGCAGCCGCAGCACTGGGGGTGCCTGAGGAGGGTCGGTGCTGCAGCAGCGCCACGGGGGTGGCTCTGCAGGGAATAAGCAGGGACATGCCATGCCCACGCTGTCTGGAACGCTGAGGTTGTCTCCGTGACCCATCCTGCCCAAATTCCTGTCGGGGGCTCCTCTTTTCTCCACCTTCAGGGGTGTTTGGCACACGGCGGGGTCGGTTCCTGGCCGGGCACTGCTGCTGCTTTGCCGTGAAGGTGCTGCGGGGTGTCAGGCAGCATCCCCTGCTGCTGCTGACTTGGCACCTTTCCCTTTCTCTCTCTCTCCTCTTTTGCCTCTTTGGATTATAAGGTTTGGAAGGCAGGAGTGTGATTTGTTAGGGCGTGTTTGAACTCGGGCTGGTGTCTTGAGGCAGATTGCAGGTGGCTGGGGAGTTGGGAGCTCAGGGATGAGGCTGGTCCCCAACAGGCACCTGGAGGATTGTGAGGTTTTGAGGCACTTGCTGCTGTGTTTCTCCTGAGCTTCAGCTCTGTGCCCGGCTGTGGGTTTTCTTGGTTTTTTTTTTTGTTTTGTTTTGGCTCTGCCCTTGAACCAGGAAAACCCAAAGTGGTGAAGCTGTGGCATCAGGGCACAGTCTCCCTGCAGAGAATGATCTCAGCTGTTCCTGGGGCTCGCCTGACACTCCTGGCTCAGGGCTGCTCTTTGGGTGACAGACTCATCACCAGGCCTGTGTTTCTCTGTGCTTCTGTGAGATCTGCTCGCCACAGGGTGTCCTTTGTGGGTTTAACATGATTCAGGCTCCTGCCCTGCTCTTTCCTTTCTTCCCTCTGCCCCTCAAAGCTGGGAGTGTGTCGGTGCTTCAAAAGAGCTACTGAGGGGCCCTTACCCACACTCATCGGTGTCTGGAGCACACAGATCCTTTCCACCTGCTGGAAGCTCCGACTGTGAAAAGATAAGAGCAACCATTAGACTTTCATGGCAGAAACTGGCTAACCCAGCCCCAGCTAAGCAGCACCACCTTGCCCAGCTGGGAGCATGGTGGTGGCTTGTTCAGGCCTCAGCTTTGCTGTCCAGAGGAAAAGAAGTTTGGGGATTTAGAGCTTGAGGGAGCGGGAGGGCTGTGGTCAGTCCTAACGTGTCCCCGCGGTGCCGTGGATGCGCTCAGGAGGCACCTGCATGTTGGCAGGCAGCTGTGTTGGTCCACCAAGGCCAGGTTCCTTCCGCGTGTGCGTGCAGGCAGAGCCCCTGCATTGCCAAGTTTTAAGGGAATTTCTTTTGGGTTCTGCTGAGGGGAGCGCTGGGATAGCTTTGGTCATTATAGTGGCACAGTCGCTGCTTTCCCTGGGGCTGTGAGTGCTTGATAAAGGCAGCAAGTCAAATCTTAATCTTACGTATGAGAAAGTGCTGGGTTTTTCAAGGCCGTGGCAAAGGCAAGGACATAATTGAGCACTCTCCTGTTCTGGCACAGTTTGTGCCACTGAAGGGCCGCGTCTCGAAGTGGTTGATGAAAGTGCAGGAGATGCAGCTCAGGTACGTGACACCAGAAACTGGCCTTTGTGCCCTCAGAGCCAGCATATGCCGTCGGGAGAAGTTTATTCTGAAAAGTGTTTCACCTCCTTGTTCTGGGCCCCATTTTAGGGGCGTGGGTAGATCAGGGTATTGGGGTTGTTAGAGAAATGATGCTGTCACCATAAATTCTCTGTGCAGATAGTCCCAGCCCTCTTCCTTTTCCCTCTGTAAAGCAACAAGTGGGTGAGTGGAAGGATGAGTCACCTTTTTTGGTTCTTGCATTTCTTGCACATCTATCCAGCCACCTGCTGCTGCCCTTCCTCGCTGCTGTTCTAACAGGAATATCTCCCTTCCAGCCCAAAGGAGCTGACCGGAAGCAGAAGACGGACAGGGAGAAGATGGAGAAGCGAACACCTCACGAGAAGGAGAAGTACCAGCCCTCCTACGAAACCACGATACTCACAGAGGTGGGATGCTCTTTCATGCAGCGGCTGGCATCGTTTTTTCCATGAGAAGTGCTTTACCTCGCTTGCAGGTGGCGAGGAACTGCCTGTTCTGCTGTGAAACCTTTGGCCAAGTTGTTGATAGCTGCAAGACAAAAGCAAGATAAATTTTGTAGGCAGAGGAGTTATTTTGTACCAGACCCGAAAAAGGGCTCTTGTGGTTGGGAACATGATGGTTTTTCCCACACTGTAATAGATAGTCTAATTTACTTCTCCCTGCAAGCTTCATTCTGCCCATGTGGCAACTGGCCACCGAGGTTGTGAGCTGGCAGAAAACCCCGTTGTTTCTTCCCTGTGTGAGTGGAAAGTGTCGGTCTATTAAAATGCGACCATCTGAGGGGTTGGTGCTGAATAGCCCTGGGGAGGGGGCCCTCATCCTGCTCCAGGGGGATCTGGGGACACTGGCCAGTGCCCAAGTCGGGCTGGAGCTGTGGCAGGACTTGCTGCAGGGAGGTTCCTGGGCTGGTGGACCCTGTGTGTCAGCCCCATGCCAGAGGAACAGTTTACATCTCAGATCTCACTGTGTTTGAATTTTATGGTTTTTTTTTTCAGCCTTTTGAGATGAGGAACCAATAACTCTAAGCTTCACGACCGTCTGCAGTGAATTGGCCTGGCTTCTTTTAATCCTCTACTTTATTCTTTAATTCTGTTTCATAGTCAGTTGTCAGTCAGCAAATAGCTGTTAACCTGTGCTGACCAGAGCAGACGCGTGTCTTTGTTCAGTGCAATCCTGTGACTCTTCTGGGTTTTCCTTCCTAGTGTTCTCCCTGGCCAGAGATAACGTACGTCAATAACGCGCCGTCCCCTGGATTCAACAGTTCCCACAGCAGCTTTTCCATTGGCGAAGGGTGAGTGTGGGGGAGAGGCCCCCTGTCGAGTTCTGCCTCGTGCGGGCAATTGCTGTGTCTGAGCTGGCAGTGGAAGGGGCAGGCCCGGTTCTGGGGTGTACGGTGGGGTGGGAGCAGCCAAAGAGGCTGCATCAGTGGGGGAAAATCCAATTAAAGCCCTCGGAAGCTGAGCGCTGTTACCAATCCTGGCTGAGGCAAAGCTGGGCTCTTGCATGAGGAGCCTGCCTGTGTTTTGAGCGGCAGTTCAGCTTCCAGCCTGCTTGGCTCTGCCTTCCCAGACAGCAGTGTGCCCAGGGGGCCAAGAAGGCAAATGGCATCCTGGCTTGTGCCAGCCCTGGCGTGGCCAGCAGGGACAGGGAAGGGATCTGAGCCCTGGGCTCGGCACTGGGGAGGCCGCCCCTCGCTGAGGGGGTTCAGTTCTGGGCCCCTCACCCCAAAAAGGCCATTGAATGACTCGAGCGTGGCCAGAGAAGGGCAATGGAGCTGGGGCAGGGTCTGGAGCACAGGTCTGCTGGGGAGCGGCTGGGGGAACTGGGGGGGTTCAGTCTGGAGAAGAGGAGGCTGAGGGGAGACCTCCTGGCCCTCGGCAACTCCCTGCCAGGAGGGGGCAGAGAGGGGGGATGAGTCTCTGGAGCCAAGGAGCCAGCGCCAGGCCCCGAGGGAATGGCCTCAAGCTGCCCAGGGCAGGGTCAGGCTGGCTCTGAGGAAGGATTTCTGTGCAGAAGGGGCTGTTGGGCGTTGGAATGGGCTGCCCAGGGCAGGGGGGAGTCCCCGGGATCCCTGGGGGGGTTGAAGAGTCGGGCTGAGCCAACGCTGAGGGATCTGGGGGAGTTGGGGAGGGTCAGGGTGAGGTTTATGCTTGGGATGGAGGAGCTACAAGGACTTTTCCAACCCAGACAATTCTGGCATTCCCACCTCCTATGAACATGCCAACATAAGCCGTTTGTTTTTGCAGAGTGTTGCTCTGCTCTGCAACAGTTACAGCACTGCCATAGCCACGTAGCTGCCTGTCCTTGTGTTTCGGTGATCTCGGTCCTGGGGTTTGGTGGGTGGGGGGTGCTGCCCGCCAGGGCCCCATGCCAGCAGGGGAGGAGCAGCTCTCACCTTGTGTTCTCTCTCTGGCTCTTCCCCCCCAGCAATGGCTCTCCGAACCATCAGCCCGAGCCACCCCCTCCAATCGCAGATGTAAGTCACACCTCAGAGCTTATGCTTGTGGTAAGGACAGTGCACAGGTCAGAAAACGGGATTTGGGGATGGAGCGGGGGCGGGTTTGGGTGTGGTTGTAGTTTGTTGGGGAAGGGACTGCTCTAGTTTAACATCTTGGGGGAGATATAACTTCTTTTTGACTCCTAGTTGGAAAAAGAGGTGACGGGGTGAAAAGTGTCCAGTACAGCGATGCAGAGCTGTGAGCAAGCTTTTTGTAGCTCGCTATGACCTTTACTTATTGCCTTGATCTTCACTGTGCCTTTCCCCTTTGCTTCCTTCCTCTTTCTCTGTCTCTCTGAAGCCTTTCAAATCAAAACCTGTCCAGGCTGCAGGCTTTGTTGTGTGTGTGCTGTGAGCTTGGCTCACTAGGGTCTCGATTTAAGGCTGTGATTATAAACACTGACAGCTGACCTGTGCTCGTTCCTCAGTGGAGACGCTTCCGCGTCACCTCTGAGGTTGTGACCCTTCTTTTCCTACATTGCAGAACCTCTTGCCCACCAGCACCCCGCAGGAGGCCCAGCAGTGGCTGCACCGAAACCGCTTCTCCACATTTTCTCGGCTTTTCAGAAACTTCTCAGGTAGGTTACGACATCCCCTCCATGTCTGCTGCTTCTCAGTGCTGAGTCGTTCGGCCTCCTCTTGCTCCTGAGGCCATCTTCATGTTACTGTTGCAAATGTAAATGTTTTAAAACACAAATATAAATGTTTTTAAATGCAAATATAAATGCTTTCAAAAATCTGGTATTTTTTTGTAACACAATAAAATGTGGCTCCCTGAAAGCTGTCTTCTTTGTTTCTCACCTCGCTCTCAACTGGCAAAATAGTGAGGACCGGCGTGGTTTCTCTTCCAAAAGCTCGCAGCAACCTCTGATCTTAAAACAAGCTGAGAAATGCTGATCTGGGGGAAAGAGCTGAGTGTAAAGAAACACTTTGCATTTCTTTTCCTTGCCTTCCCTGGTGATATGGCCTCTGTTATCCAGGGTCACCGAGGCACCGGACAGACGGCTGTAAATGATAATACAGGCCCCAGGGTTGTACCCAAACACACTCTTGCAAAACCAGTCTAGAAAAAAAACCTTGCAAGTGTCCTTCTAGGGGAGGTTGTTGGCAGAAGCAATTTGGGAATGGGGTGTGAGCTCTGCGAGCAGGAGGAGGGGGACCCAACACAGCCCAGAGCCACCCATCCTGGACATTTTGGTCTGGATTGTGTGACTCTCTCCTTTTTGATGTTTAAAACTGTAGGTGCAGACTTACTGAAGCTGACCAGAGAAGACGTTATCCAGATCTGTGGCCCTGCAGATGGCATCAGGCTCTTCAATGCGTTAAAAGGACGGTACGTTGTTTGCTAAAAGCTGATTGCGGGTGGGAGGTAAATTGTATTTGTTTTAGCCTGTTTGCTTGGGTCTTGCTATTAGACAGAAGAAGCATTTCATTAACCTTCCTGAACCTCTTTCAGTCACATTTGATGTTAGCCAGCAGGGCAACTGCTCCAGAGACAATTTGAGGAAGAAAATCCATGTGGGGGAGAAGCGTTAGAAATGATCTTACCCTTTGAGTGTCAGAGAACTGAGCCACAAGCCAGAAGGTCCTGGTGAGACAGTACTTGTTTCCTTGGTCCTCTGAACCACCTCAGAGGAATATCCCTTCCAGAAAGGGAATATCCCTTTGCACCTTTCCCTAAAGAAGCAGGGACTGGTGTTTTACTGCCCCTGTCTGCAGCCGGGCAGAGGCACGGC